TTAAATGACAACAAAACTGCTCTCTTTTTAGTATGATTTATTCCCCAGAATATCCTGATGATAGAATTATTATTGTCAACCTGAAGCAGGAGTGGTGCAGTTAATATGCTCAGCTGCTGACCAAAAGTTGAAGGTTTGAGCCTACCCAGGGATGCCTGGGAAGAAAGGCCTAGCAATCTACATCTGAAAAATCAGCCATTAAAAACCCTATGGAGCACATTTTACTTTGATATACATGGGTCATGAATTCTGGTTGACTTAATGACAACTCCCCCCACCATACACACACACAGCAAGGGCCAGCAAATTTTTTCTTAAAGATAAATATTTTTAAAGTAAATATTTTAGGTTTTGAAAGTCATTAGGTTTTTGTTGCAACTACTCTGCATTTGTAACACAAAAGCAGTCTGAGACAATAGTAAACAAATGGGTGTGTCTGCATTCCAATCATACCTTACAAAAATAAGCACCAGGCCTTGGGGTTTGCAAGCCCTACTTTGCTAACTTTTAGCATAGAACTCGAATCTTTGGTCAGCTAAGATTCCATGTTAGCTGTGTTAGCTGTACATAAACAACTCATTTTCTATCAGAGCTTTTCGATTTTATGAGGGTGGCAAGTAGGTGACTAATGCACTGCTAAACCAGTGGTGTTGTGTTTTTTTTTTCCTGACTTATGGTGACCCCATGTGTATCACAGGACAATTGTGCTCCCTAAGGTTTTCAATGGCTGATTTTCAGAAGTAGATCACCAGAACTTTTCTTCCAAGGTGACTGAGTGGATGCCAACCTCCAACCTTTTGGTTAGTACTTGAGTGTTTAACTGTTTGTGCTACCCAGAAACTCTTTAATGCACTGCATTAAGGATCTCAACTAATAGTGACCCAATGTGACAGAGTAGACTGCCCACTAGGGTTTTCTACACTGCAGTTTTTATGGGAGCAGACCTCCAGTTCTTTCTCCTGTGGAGCCACTACAGGCACAGAAAAATATTTTTCTTCCCTGAACTAAGCACTGAAAACAACTCATACCACTCACTAATAGTTCTGTTTTTCCCCTCTGAAGTCTAATTTATCACCAAGTATTAATTAAACACCAAAAATGTGCTTAGGTGGGCATCACCAGGAACACAACCAAGAAAACTTACAGTCCATGTTCTTAAGGATGTCTGTACTTATATGACAATAAGACATAGACACACAATCACAGCAAATTCAAGTGTGAACGTTAGATAATTCCCTAAATGCACTTGTAACAAATGGTTAGGCATTTGGAGAAAATGAAACCTAGATTCTTCTTTACTTCTGTTATCACAATAAATTCCAGTTGGTTCAAATACTAAAGTGTAAAAACATGAAACCATAGTGCTAGAAATAATCACAAGATGGGCATATATTTTTAATAATCTTGGAGTTGAGAGAATCTTTCGAATCAGAACGTGAACTTCTCTGATGCCACAAGGAAAAATCACATATAAATAAAAAATATCTACATGGGAAAAAATCTGCCTTTATCAAAAGGAATTGGATAATTATTTAATATACATGACAAAGTTTACTACTTAATAATGTGAACTCCTGAAAAATCAACAGAATAATTTTAAGTACATGAATAGATGCTAAAAAAAAAAAAAAAAAAAAAAAAAAAAGTTAAAGAAATCCAGACTAAAAACCATTAAAATTCATCACTATTGGACAGGCCAGCTTCTGTCTTTCTCTCTGGGATCACAGGCTCTCCAGCTTCTCCTTGGAAGGATGTTCCCTGCAGAAACCACATGGTCTTGCTGTGAGCAGCCCCCTGGATCCATGCCAGTCCACAGCCCCAACTGAGCCCAGTCTGAGTCATCTAGCCTAGGTGCCAGACAAGTGAATGAAGAAGCCTCCAGACGATCCCACACCCCAGCTGTTCAATCATTCCCAACTGAGTCCCCAGAAGTCCTGGAGCAGAGTCAAGCTGTTGCCACTATGAACTCTCCTAATTCCTGACCCACAGAATTCATGAGCATAATAAAATGTTTGTTGTTTTACACCACTAAGTTTTATCTAGCCTGTCATACAGCAACAGGAAACCAAGCGATACTCACCATAAGCAAGATCGCTGACGCATCTCACTCTGGCCAGACAGATTTAATGTATGAGGGGAAGCTACATCAGGAAGGATCGTGGTGACCTAACACAACACAGTGCTCAGACAGTTACAAAATGTATGTACTATGTATGATCTACGTACTTGGAGAACAATGGACAATCTTTGATGCTGAGATTCAAGGAAGACAGGATGTGGAGAAGGCTGAGAGCCAGAGGATCAGTGGTGGGCTTACGCAGTGAGTGTTCAGGGAAATGTCCAAGGACACTCACTCCTCATCAAGTTCAAAGTATATTTACTTGGGAAGAGTATTCATTGTATTCATTGATCAAGGTGAAACAACAAGGATATGTCCAGAGAACAAATCTGGGAGACAATGTCTTACTAGGTGCATGCCAAGATGACTCAGGATGAAGGATAGAGGAACTGACTAGTGCTGACAAAGCAGGAGGGGGAAGGACAGCCACACAGTTGAGCAGAAGAGGGTAGGCTGGCTGCCTGTGAGGGATGAAAATCATCCAGGAGCAGGGATAGTCAACCCCAGAGAGTGAGCTGAGTAAAGGTCCAATGTGTGTGCTGGGGAGCCTTGGGTAGATCACAACTTCTCTGAGCCTCAGTTTTCTCAACAAATGCTCCCTGCTTCTCCAATTACAATGCTTTCTCTTTCCTTTCCCCTCAAAACCAAAACCAAACTCACTGCAGTCGATTCGACTCACAGCGACCCCTCATTGGGTTTCTGACACAGTATCTCTAAAAAAGTAGATCACTCAACTCCAAACACCTTAACAAAATCCACAAGGTCCTGTAAACCATGCCCTACCTAGCTCATCCCTTCCTCTCACTGGCTCAATTCTACCTACTCTAGAAACCTTTGTTTCTAAAACTCTTCAAACCTTTTCTGACCTTAACAAGTTGCCATGGAGATAATCAGATTCAGGGCAACTCCACATATGTTAGAATAGAAACGTGCTCCATAGGGCTTCCAATGGCTGATTTTTCAGAAGTAGATCACTAGGTCTTTCTTCTGAGGTGCCTTTGGGTAGACTTGAACCTCCATCCTTTTAGCAGCTGAGCATGTTAACTGTTTGCACCACCCAGGGACTTCTGACCTTAAAACAAAATAAGCCCATGCTGTCAACTTGATTGTGATTCGTAGCAACACTACAGGACAAAGTAGAACTGCCTCATAGGGTTCCCCAAGCTGTAAATCTGTACGGAAGCAGATTGCCACATCTTTCTCCCACAGAGTGGGTAGTGGGTGCAAGCTGCCAACCTTTCGGTTAGGAGTCAAGCTCTTAACTGCTGAGCCTCTAGTGCTTCATTTTCTGACCTTTGGGCCTTCATATTCAATGTTTCCCTCTTCTGGCTCTTTCTCATCATTTTGATCCAAATGAATATTACTCCTTCTGAGAAGCTTTATCTGCTCTAGATAAAGGATTGCACCTGCCAGTCAATCTCTTTTTCTCTCCTTTATTGCAATTACAAGATTTATCTTGACTGTTGTCTTTCTTCCCTCAGTAGTATTAAAATAAGCTCCACGAAAGATGTGACTTTGCCTATCTTGCTCAGCAATCCCATGAAGTAATGCTGTGAAGACTTCCTTGACCCTCACCCTCCAAGCAGTCAGAGCACTCACTCTTTTTGTGCTGTTGATGAACCAAACATCCCACCATCACTGTATTCATTGGACTCTACTGCTCTCCTTAGCTTAGATTCTGTAACTTGGCTCTGTAGCCCAAGTACCAACAAGTACCTTGTTGAGTACTTATCAAACCCACCAGCCACTCCTTGGAAGGAAGATGGGGCAATCTACTTCTGTAGTGATACTGCCTTGGAAACCCAAGGAGGGGTCACTATGAGTCGGGTCCGACTTGACAGCACATAACAACACAACAATAGCTTCATCTTAGAGAGCCTAGCAGTGGATTAGAGCTTGGGTTTCTGAAGCCAGACTCCCTGCTCTCAAATTCCAGTAGACTGTGTTTTGTGAATCTGGTAAACATTCCTTGACCTTCTTCATCTGTAAAATGATGACCCCAGTAGTTAACAAGAGAGAGTTGTGATGAGAAGTGTATACATGCAGAGTGCTTAGAATAATGTCTGGCACATAGTAAACACATTGTTTAAATTACTTTATATTGAGAAGTTACAACTTTGGCAAAGCTACGAGTTTCATAGAAAGGTAAATAAGATGAAATAACCAAGTAGAGTGAATGCTATGGAAATATATATAATATTTTCTTTAATTACACAGGTGAAAATGGCTCTCAGATAAGCTTAGCATGGTTTTCATGGGCTTAAGTTGGTTCCACCAAAAGCTACTCCTAGGCCAGAGGTTCTCTCTATAGACTTGTGTCATAGAAGTGACTCCTTTCCACATACAAGGGCTAAAATCAGCTTCCTAGGGAGCCTGCTTCACCACTGAAGATGAACTTAAAATATATCTCCAGCTCATTGGACAAAACCATCACATATATTAACCACTTCTTATTTAGAAAGAGGAGCTCTGGTAGCATAATGCCTAAGGCATTTGACTGCTAACCAGAGTGCTAGCAATTTAAACCCACCAGCCACTCTTTGGAAGGAAAATGGGGCAACCTACTTCTGTAGTGACACTGTCTCGGAAACCCAAGGAGAGGTTGCTATGAGTTGGGTCCGACTCGATGGCACATAACAACAACAATTTAGAAAGAGAGTTTCTATGGACCAAAAAAGACTGAGTCTTTCTTAGGGACTGAACACAAGAACATGGAGCCCAAAAGAATGAACAGAAAGGACCAGGTCTTTACTGTCACTGGAGGTGCTGATCATCCCAGGGTGTCCTTGTTATCTAGGCCCCTCCCAAGTACACACAGGAGGAAATCCTCCCTTCAGCCAGAGTCTGACTATCAGGTAGAAGACAAGCTCATTGTGAAGAGCTAGAGAGGGCTGTAGGATCTGTCCCCAAGGTTGCTCCCATCTCTGGGGGCTGCCTTCCCCCAGCAGCCAAACATCTCCTGTGAGGCATAGGTCATGTATACAAAGCCATCCTCATCCTTGTAGTCTCTGTAGACTTCTGCCATGGTCACACTCATGCTGGCCAGGCTCTTATTATTCACCAACAAGTAAAAGGCTTCAGTGGTCCTCAGCACCATGCGGCTCCTGGGTTTGAGGGTATGGGGAGAGATTTCAGAAAGGAAAGACGTTAAACTGGCAGGGAATGGGCCTCCATCCTAAGTTTTACCACAGTTTGACCAATATAAACATATGTCATGGAGATGAGATGCCCTAACTCCCAAAATCTAGAGGCAGTGGTCTTCAAACTTCAATATACACTAAAATTATCTAGAAGGGGCTTGTTTAAAATGCATATTCCCAGGTGCCACCCCCAAGAGATTCTCATTCGGTTGATCTGGAAAGAAGTCTAGCTATCAAGACTCCTAATGCTCCAGATGTCTTGCCAGCTCTTCCCTGGAGATTTAAGATACTGTTGTTGTTATGTGCCATTGAGTCTGACCCGACTCATAGCAACCCCTCCTTGGGTTTCCAAGGCAGTATCACTATGGAAGTAGATTGCCCAACCTTCCTTCCAAGGAGTGGCTGGTGGGTTTGAACTGCCAGCCTTCTGGTTAGGAGTCAAGTGCCTTAGGCACTATGCTACCAGAGCTCCTCTGAAAATGACCAAGGGAATGAAGCAACACCATTATTCACTGGCAGACATGCCAGCATAAGAACACTAAGCAATAAACCATTGCTTACTATGAAATTAAGGTCCTTGGGTAGCACAAATGGTTAAGTTCTGGGCTACTAACCAAAACACAGGCAGTTAAACCCACTCAAGATGCCTCAGAGATAAGGTCTGGTGATCTGCTTCTGAAATGTCATCATTATGAAAACTGTGGAATAGAGTTCTACTCTGAAACACACAGGGGCACCATGAGAATCAACTCACAATCAGGAACAGGTTACTGGTTTTGATAAGAAATTAAAGAATTTCCATAGCAGTACAAAGGTGATGAACCAAATCACAATTCAATAGCCTTGGATAACATTTGGAAGGGCTATTCTGCTTAAATGTGTGTCCTTTCCTCATCTGTCCTTTAACAATAATATAGAGATGCATTAATAAGATAGAGAAGCAGCAAAGTTCAACTGGATCTGCTTCAAATGTCAAGGTCAACCTGAGTCCTGATTACTCCCAGAAATCATTGGAAAGACCTAAGCCTCTGTAAGCATATTTTAGTTTGCTGTCATTTGTGAGGCAGGCACAGCAGACCAATCTAAATCTCAGAACTCTGAAGCTTCTGATGGGTGAGTGAGTGAAACAGTCAAGAAAGGAGCTGGTTGGAGGGTAATTTCAGAACCTGATTCTGAAATTAACAGTGAGATAATCCCTCATGAAATTACCCTAAAAGTTTTTATTTTGACAATCACATGACTATCTTTAGGTGAAAAATAACATAGAATGAGTGGAGCTGGAGTTAAGTATTGCAATCAGTTCTGCAGGTGATTGCTCTTATGTCCAGAGATTGCACCTCCATTGCTATCTCTTGTCAGGTTCTCATTTTATGAGCATTGGAATCCCCATTGTATGAAGGATATGCACAGGGGCTTTGTCTGCTCTGTTCACTGTTGTATCCCCAAAGTCCAGATAGCACTTGGAACATAGCTGATGCTTAATAAATATTGTGGAGCTTCTAATGGTTGGATAGGGATGTGGGTCAGGGGTGGTGGTGAAGATAGGAGGGCCACTGTGAGGAGAAAAAGAAACGGCTGTCAGTTTGTTTGTTTGTTTGTTTTCGTGGGGTAGGAGGGTCAAAAATGATCCCACATATTGGGATCTAATCCTGATTTTTTGCAACAAAACTCAAAATAATGAAAAAGACCAGGCTTTTACTGGTCAGATGGAGACTAGTGGGACCCTTGAAACTATGGCCCTTGGTCACACTTTGGAGTTGGAAATGAACTCATTCTCACAGCTGAATTTTCAGTCAAACAGTAGACAGGTCTACAAGGTGAAAAATAATTTTAGGAAGGCGGACATTCCTTAGAACAATCAATCATTGAAGATCAAAAGGGCAGTAGTTGCCCAAGTACAAAGTTCAGAAGGCAGGACGGGTTAGGAGAGAAGGAGGAATGAAAATGAAAAACATAGGGAGGATGTGTAAGGAGTGATGTTACATTGAGGAGATTGCAATCAATGACATGAAACAAAGCATGCATGAATTTTTTTTTTTTTTTTTAATTCACCCAATGAAAACCCTATGGAACACAATTCTACTCTGACCCACGTGGGGTTGCCATGGGTTTGGTTTGGGCTTTTTTTGGAGCAATGTAGGGAGTGTGTGGTAGTTAAGGTTGTTGTCAACTTGCCTTGGCCTGGTTGAGTGGCAGAGCAGCTGGAGGTAGTTATTCCTCATGCTGAGACTGGCAATCAACTCCATGGTGGAATCTGCCACAAGCAGCTGAGCAGCTGCTTTAGAGATGTGGTCTGCTTCCCACATATAAGGAGAAGATTTGGGATTGGTCTCTAGACTTTTGCCATGCTTGAACCTTGCATGTAGCAAGTCGTTGTTCCACTAGTGCTATGCCCTGCTGATCTTGAGACTTCTTCTGGACTTGAATTAGTGGTCTGCCATGTTTGGTTATGTTGGGACCATTGCTTTTTACTTGTCAACCTTGGGCTTGTCAGCCTCAGCAGCCAGCAGCTGTCTGAGTGAAAAAAGGCCTGCATCTTCAGTGGGCTGGGAGCAGGAGGTAGAGGTAAAGCCCAAGGTTGAGGGGCTTTTCACCCAGCCCCTAAAGCCTGGCACTTTGAACTCAGACTTAAAGCCTCCAAAATTATAAGAGAATAAACTCCTGTTTGTTCAAGCCATTCTATTTGTGGTATATTCCTGTCAGAGTGGCACTAGGTAACCAGAACAGAGTATTTGCCTTTTGAAGAGGTCACCTAGCCCCCAGGTGCACACACTTCAAGAAGTACTGCATCTTCTGGCAAAGTGCAATCTAAGTTTAGAGTAGTATCTGAAAGAAAGGACCTTTGAGACTAGTTTCAGAGCCAAGATTACTTTGGAAAATTCTTAGAAACTTTGGGAATTATTACCCCCTTTAGATTTGTTATCTAAGGAATTCTCCCCATCTGTTTAAAACAACTTCATTCTAAGAAATTTCCTCTCTCTTTTCCCCTTTATACCCCTCCCCAAAACAAAATATTATAAACATAACAGAAGGAACCCAGGTGCACACAATTGTCCCCCTCCTTCCCTGCTTTCCCACCTACCGAAGGAGGCTGAGGAACTGGGTCATGGTCAGCTCCTGCGGGACCAGGAACTTGGTTTTGTCCAGTGGAGGCAGGAGCTTCTCACGGGGGCAGCGCTCCACTATTACCTGCCAAGAGTGTCAGCATGAGTCTCTTCTGAAGCAAACCTTTAAGAACTGGGCTCAGGCTGCTCTGCATCTTAGGAACTTGGGACAGCGAAATGCTGTTGGGTGGTCTTTTTTTTTTTTTTTTTTTCTTCAGAGAACAACAGGCCCCAGGCCCCTAGGAAATTAAATACCCTGGAATCTTACCGGGATCTTGCTTGGAAACTTTGCCCGGATTCCTGCCACTTCCTCTCTTCTGGTTGCTGTGAAAATTTAAATGCAAATGAATTGCTAGGCCTGGAAGAGAAGCCCATGTCCTCTCTTTCCCTCTCTGAGAGGCCAGAACCCAGAAAAGTGCCCCCAAGAACTTTACCTAAACTTTTCCTCTGCTTGAAAGGTCTGAGGCTTGGGCTTTTCTGTGGAGGCTGCATTTTACTCATCAGCTGTGTCTGTGTCTGATTTCAAAAGCAAAAAATCTGCAACAGAGACCTAACTCCTTCCTCCAGCTGCTTCCAAATTGCCTTCAGGAGCTGAAGGAGGCTTTTATGTAGGGCTGGTGACATCAGGCCTCTCCCCTCTCTCTTCACCCCACCCCATTTCCCAAGCAGGAGGGCATTAGGTCTGAGGGGGAAAATGGAATAGCCACCTGCTTGTTAGTCAGAGGAAACCACTTTGCTCACTGCCAGTTAAGAATGTGTCTTTGCTAAAGGAATTAAGGCTCACAATAAAATCATTAGCCATGCACTGGAACAGCCCACTTCTGGGCTGAGGAACTCTGCAGAATACTTCAGTACTGAAGCTTCCTGAGCGCAGTCCAGGATGGATCCACCTTACCCTAAAATATGCTGTATAGTTCTCACAACAATCCTTGCCATTTTTCACAGGAAGAATGTTGGATTTAAAAAGGTTAAGTAATTTGTCCAAGGCCACACAGCTAGCAAGAGAGGCAGTTGGGATTAAAACCCAGATTTGTTACAAAGTAGTACTATGCTCTGTAGTTTTCCAATGTAGTCTGTCATTTCAAAAATAAAGGAGGGAAAGGAGGACAGTTATTACACCTAAGATACCTCTTTAAGAGATTAGAAACTGAGGCCCCTCAATATTAATTGATTTCCCAGGATCAAACAACTAGTAAGAGGCAAGACCCAGTTCTTCCAGAGTGGTTGATTCTTCCAGAGGCTGATTCCTAATACCTAGACATGGGAGTAGACCTTCAGGCTCCAAATGAACAGCAAGTTTATATTTCCTTCCCTGCTAACAATATCTTCCATGGCCCCCAGGTGGAGTCACTCAGTAGTGAAGACTCTTCAAATGAAGGAAGAGTGATGGAGAGGCCTGCATTTGGCTTTCTCAGCTGGTACATGGGGATCATGATCTCAACCACACCTACCTTTCAGGATGTTATGGGAGTAAAGGGGATAATAGAATATAGGACTTAGGAAAAGTAAAATATAGGCATATTCATCACTTAGGCAGAAGAATCAGCTACATATGGTTTCTTTTCTTGAAAACTTCTATTTTGAGGGAGCATGGTTTGTTGTACTATGTTGACTTGCATGATGATGTGATGCTGGAAGCTATGCCACTGGTATTTCAAAAACCAGCATGGTCACCCATAGTGGGCAGGTATTAGTGAAACTTCCAGATTCCTCAGACCACAGGAGAGAACGCTGTTGACTACAAGGTGATCAAAGCTACAAAATACCAATGGCACAGATATCATGGGGAAGGAATTAGGAGTAGCACTGTGAAAATCCCTTGAGCAAGAATGCCAGGCTTGATCCAGAGTCCTATCTTATGGTATTTTAATAAACAAAAAATGGACTTTACTCATGATGCAGATCAGACATGTGCAGTTGAAAATAGGCTTCTTAAAACTTCACCCATCTTTTAGGCATGCCATGTGAAACACAACCAGTAGAAGTCATTTGATGCCCACTAACCTACCTTCTCACCTCACCTGGCTTTCCCAACATCTCCTCAGTTAAAGAATATTTAAAGTCCTGGTATGAGAGAGAGTGAGCTGGTGGGATAAGAGATGGGAGAGAGTGGGACACTTGACATTGGAATCAGGAAGAACTTAACTCCTGTCCAAGCCACCTGCTTCCTAAGATAACCACCAGTCAACCCACTTATAATTTTGCCATACATTCTGATGCATATCATATCCATAGAGGCAAGAAGAAAGATTTTGGAATTGAACTTACGTTCTGTTATGGATGGAATTGTGTTTCCCAAAAAGTTATGTTGAAATTTAACCCTTGCACCTGTCAATACGACTCTGTTTATAAATAGGGATTTTTTGTTGTTGTTGTCATTTTAATAAAAGTCATTCCACAGGGGACCAGGTTTGCTGGTCTGATGGAGCCTGGTGGAACCACTGAGACTATGGCCCTTAGCTGCCCTTCAGGTCTGGAATTGAATCCACACCTGTGGCTTCCAGCCAAACAAAAGACAGGCATAGAAGTTGAACATTTACCTGAGGTAGAGATACTCCTTGGAGAGAAAAAACATGGGTGAAAGGAGGGCTGCTTATGCACAGGGAGACAGCTCAGGGGGCAGGAGTGCATGGAGAGATGGAAACAGGGAAGAGGTGACTGTTGGGAGGAAGTGGGAGGGGAGCTGTTGCATTGTGGTGAATTGTGGTCAATATCATGAGACAAAGTGTATGTGAACTGCTGTATGGAAAGTGAATTTGCTCTGTAAATTTTCGCCCAAATCACAATAAAAAAAAAAAAAAGAAAGTCTTCCAGGGGAGGATGAGTCCTAAACCTCATCACTTCTGAGTGGTGTCTTATAAAAAGAGCACGTTAGACACAGAGGTGAAGGAGCTCTTGTGGCTTAGTGGATAAGGCATTTGGCTGCTAACCAGAAGGTCAATGGTTCAAACCCACCAGCTGCTCCATGGCAGGAAGATGGGTCAGTCTGCTTCCATAAAGATTTAAAGCCTTGGAAACCCAATGGGGGTCACTATGAGTTGTAATCAACTCAATGGCAGTGAGTTGAGTTGGTTTGAGATACAGAGGCATGCATACACAGGGGAAGACAGATGCCATGAAAGGATCATCTACAAGCAAAAGAATGCCCAGGAGGGAGACAGAAGAAATCAGAAGAGAGGCTAACAGAAGGAATCAACATGTCCAAGATCCTGATGTGGAGTGTTAGTCTCCAGAACTGTGAGGAAATAAATTTCTGTTCTTTAAAGCACTCACTTGTGATATTCTTGTTATAGTAGAACTATGTAACTAAGACAGGCTCTAAATCTTGTTTACTAGGAAGTTTCCTAGCTTCTTTGAGCCTCATACTAATCATTAGCCAAATGGATATGCTTTCACTCATCTCCCAGAGTTATGTGAGGATTAATGTGGAAATCTATGTGATGTGTATAAATATACGTGAGATGACATAGTAAGAGCTCAATACTACTTCATACTACTCGTGTCCTGTGCAGCTAATATCCTAGCTCACTTCCCTCACACTTCTTGGAACTGAAAGAGTTGCCTATGCTCACTCTTTCCACTTAGCTCACTGACCGCTCCTTAAACTCATGCAGTCTGGATCCTGTCCTCAACACTAAAGCAATGCTACTGGGAAGGCAGCAATAACACATGCAAAACGCTCTATTTTGTCCTTATTTTATTTGATCTTTCCCTCCTCACCATCTGACATTGGCACCCATTCTCCTTCTAAAACCTCTCTCATCAGTTAGACCAGAATATCACTTTCTTCTGATTCTTGTCTTTCTTTTCTAACTTTCCTTCTCAGCCCCAACTGGCTCTCACTCTTTTGCACAGCCACAATTTCCTTAAATTCTTCAAGTCCAACCCAATTTCAGAATGATATGTATATAGTTATCTTGTGTAGCCATAACAGAAATACCACAAGTGGGTGGCTTTAAAGAACAGAAATTGATTGTTTTAAATATTTAGGAGATGAAAGTCCAAATAAAGGGTGTGGCTCTAGGGGAAGGTCCTTCTTTGTCTATTTCTATTTCTAATAGCAATCTACCCTTCAAGTTCCTGGGTTTATAGGGTCATCTGCCTCCCTCATTGTCAGATAACATCTATATGAGTCTCTTTGACTAGGCTGCTCTTTATTTAACTCAGAAATGATTAGATTTAGGACACAACTTAAAATGATATAGTATCTTTAACATAGCAAAGAAAACCCTATTTCCAAATAGGATATATATTCCACAAGTGTATGGGTTAGGATTCCAACACATATTTGTGGAAGCAGAGGAGTGGGGAGGTGGGGGCTGTTCAGTCCATAACAATAATCTTTGATGTAGATAACTGAGACATTTTTCTTCCCTACAAAATGTATAAAAACATTTTCACAGAACTGTTCTATTCTTCATGACCTGTAGCATGTGAGCTTACGTAACTGCCACATATTTGCTATGCAAACATGCTTTAAGATCAGTCCCCCAAGTATCATAATTTCTTCCAACCACATCACTGACCCAAGTCCATCATATATGCAAATTTTAGAGCCAACCAGTGCTTCTTCTATTGCCCCTTAAATTTTGGTATCACCCAGATTCTAACATCATTTTTTTGCTCTATATTTCTTCCTGATTTTAATAATTCCTGAGGAGTTTCTCAAAGTGACTCCAATGTGATTTAAAACTGGACTTGCCCTTGGCAAATGGAAATGTTTGGGACACAGGGAGTGACTAGGACAAATCCGTTTTGTTCTCTGTGGCTACTGCCATCCATCCTCCCTGGTTTTAATTAAAATAGGAAGACAGGTTTTATTATTTATTTATTACTTTTCATATTTACTGTTTATTTTTTAAAAATTTTATTGTGATTGAGTGAAATTTTACAGAGCAAATTCATTTTTCATACAGCAGTTCATATACATTTTGTTGAATGACATTGACTGCAATTCCCCACAATGTAATAATTCTCTTCCCTCTAACTACATAACCCTGTAGTTACCTCTTCCCTGTGTCCTTCCCTCCCCCTTACAGCTGTCTCCCTGTGTTAGCACTGCCCTAACATGTTCTACCATGATTGATTGCTCTAAGGAGCCTTATCTACCTGATGTACATGTTCACCTCCCATGCACTGCCCTCCCCCTTACAGCTGGCTCCCTGTGTTAACACTGCCCTAACATGTTCTACCATGATTGATTGCTCCAAGGAGCCTTATCTACCTGATGTACATGTTCACCCCATATGCCTGTCTATTGTTTGGCTAGAAGCTACAAGAGTGAGTTCAGTTGCAGATCTGAAGGGAAACTAGGAGCCACAGTCTCAGGGGTCTCACTAGGCTCTATCAGACCAGCAAACCTGGTCTTTTTTTTTTTTTTTTTT